AACCCCTAAACCTTAGACCATAAACCGTCCGAGAGGCTCGGACGAGATCTTTCTTTCGCACAAGCTGCGATGTGATCACGCTCTGGATCCTGCCGGCGCGGTGAGGTCTCGGATTTAGGGTTTAGGGTTTAGGGTTTAGGGTTTAGGGTTTGGGGTTTAGGGTTTCGGGTTCAAATCTAGAGATTAGGGCTAAGTTTTTGGGGTTCCGAATCCCGAACCTACGGTTTTGGGTTGAGGGTTTAGGGATGAAGGTCTAAGCCCTAAACCCTAACCTACGGGTTTCAGGTTAAGGGTTCATATGGGTTCATATCTAGTAACCTTAATAGCCTGGGGAGATTAAGGTTTAGGGTAAGTCAGTTTTCGGGGTTCCTAATCCCTAACCTATGGCTTAGGGTTTAGGGGTTTAGGGACCTCCTTCCTGTAGAACACTGTCAAGAATAAGTCTCCTCCACCCTAAACCCTAAACCCTAAACCCTAAACCCTAAACCCTAAACCCTAAACCCATCCAGACTACAGGAAGGGATTCGGCTTGAGCTCAGTGCTGTTCTGTTGATGAACATCTTGAGGCGGGCTTACAGATGTCCCATATGAGGCATTGACGAAGCGCTAAGCCGCTTAGCGCTTAGCAAGTATGGGTTTCCGGTTCAAGATGCTCTTGGCTCCGAAATTTCGGGCTTCGGATCCCTAGCTAGGGCTGCTGTGGGGTTTCAAGAACCTCAAAAGTGAGATGAAGAAGGGTTTAGGAGGAAGGATCCCTTACAGAAGGGCCCTCGTTTCGGACCACCTACCTGCATCCCACCTTTTGAGCCTTGGTGTTCGAGGCATAACTCTCCACCCTCGCATCAAACAGGGATGTGCGTTTGGCGGGAGCCAGGGCACCAGGCACTCAGGGTTGCGCATGCGGGGTTGTCAGCCCCACAAGCTACCGATCAGGCTTGCCTGCCCACTGCACGAAGATCCAGATGACCCAGTGTAGGTCATTGCAAGTAGGTACTATTCGGATACTGGGAGCATTCGGGGATGCGGGAACTGGACATCCAGGGCATCCAATTCCTGGGTGCCTGGTGCAACGACGCCGGGATACAGCGGTAGCCATCGCTTCGTACCTTGCTGGAATGGGGGCGGGGGGGACTTGTGGTATTGGCAGTGGTGGTGGTAGTAATCGTAGTTAGCAGTCCCAGTGCACGTCATCGTCCTCGTCGCAGTCGTCGTCGTCGTCCTTCTGATCGTACTCCCTGTCCTGCTCGTTCACGGTGAGTCGTCCTCGTCATCGTCTTCGTCTTCTTCGTCTTCCTCGTCGTCGTGTTCTGGTCGACGTGCCTACTCCTAATCGTAAATGCATGTACATGCGCATACACACATCGCCCTCGCTTTCGAGATTCGTTGTGGCAAGGCACATGTGAGTTTGGACCTATGTGTACATCACACATATACATGCGTGCGTCCATACATATAGACTCAACCGCTCAGCATGGCATCAAGAAAGAACGTGGCCGATGCTTGTAAAGGCAAACCCCAGATAATCGCAAAGCATCATCTGAGACCGACAGATTCACAGAACTGCCGGAGACCTCATACAGTCTCCGAAGCAGACAAACAAACATTCAAACATACAGACAGACAGAAAGACAGACAGACAGAAAGCAGGCAGACAGACAGAAAGACAAACAAACAGAAAGAAAGAAAGACAGATGGACGGACAGGCACACACACATACACACATACGGACGAACGGACAGGCGGGTAGGCAGGCAGACAAGCAAACAAGCAAACAGTGTAGTTTAGGCATACAAACACACAGCCAGACAGACAGCCAGCCAGCCAGACAGACAGACAGACAGACACTGGCATACACAGACACAGCCAAACAAGTAATGCAAGCAGACATTAAAGTAGATAAGCTGAAACATATATATATATATACACATGTCTGTACAAAAGTCTGTACATCTGCATATGTATCAAATACTGTATGACAAAGCCAATACTTTTGTGTACCTACACGAATACACACGCACACACGCCAAAATGCATGCAGGCGTGCATGCGCAGATACGTAGATACAAAGATGCATGATCCATAGACAATCAAAGACACATATAGACATGGAAACACCGATGCATCGATACATCGATGTATGTTTACCTGCCTACATACGTACATACAGACATACAGACATACATATACACACACACACACTTATGTGACGTATACATATGTTACAGTCTTCTGGAGAGAGAGACAAAACGGAAGCGCACCAGATTCGTATGAGTTTTCGAGCCTTTGTTCCCGGCAACATTTGCGGTTTGGGATGCTTCACGTGCCTTATTCAACTAAACAGATTGCATGTGCGCACGCAAAGATGCACCCGCACGCACCATAAATGGGGCAACATACGTTTTGTTCTTGTGCTCGTGAGTCTTTGTAGGCCAAAAACTCAAGACCATACAAGGCTCGAGAATGCGTTCGCATCCGCGTCCCTCGAGACCTTTGCATTCACGCGGCATCCAGCTTTCCTCTGCTTCTTCTTGCTCGCAGTTGTCGCCGCCATGTTCCAACACTATGTGCTCTTCGGTGCAGGGTCGCGGCCAAAATCCAACAGGGAGATGCGGATGTAGACGGCTTAGGGTTTAGGGTTTAGGGTTTAGGAGGCTTGAAGGACTGTCCTGCAAAGGCAGGAATCCGTGCAAAAAGAAGCTTCAGCCAAGTGTGCAAAAGCGGCGCCAACGCGCAATGGTGTCCTCTGATTCAACGTGGCCGTGGAAGTAAGTAGTAGATAGTCCAAGGTAGGCGGCCGTCGTGGTAGCTGTCGTCGTCGTCGTCATCGTCGTCGTCTGGAAGCTACCATGAAGATGAAGATTAAGATGATGGTGATGATGATGTTATTCATGATGATGATGATGATGATGATGATGGTGACCATGATGATGATGATGATGATGATGTGGCCGAAAGAGCGATGTGATCATGAGCTAAGAGATTTTCATCCCCGCCATTGGTATGCCCAATCCAGCAGTAAGCGTGCAAGGGAGGAGATAGAGAAGACTATGCAAGGGAGAGTTTCATGCTTGTTCAGAAGTCTTCGCACCCATATTTGTTTTCGTTTTATTTTCGTGTGCCAAGTGCCTCTGAGCAGATCTGAGCAAAAACGTTCAGAAGTACGTCATTGGGGGCTTGAGCTTCAGGATCGGTTCGGATGATGAACGAGATTCGAAGCTAGTGAGTTCGGCCACAAGGCCTCGATAAAAGATAGATAATATTAAGAAGACGAATTCTATAGATATATTCTTATCAAATTAAATTCAATAGATTTCGAGCTCCTCTACTATATATTATAAAATATAAGATCTTTATTTTTATTTTCTATTTTGCTACTTGTATGTTATGATAATAATAAAGAAAATATATATTATTAATTCTTTATAGAAATCTATAATAAGAATAGGAATTATTAAAAATATATTTGAACTTCAGATCTTTATTATTGAGTAATTCTAGAATATATATGAAAATTATATCATATTATAATTATAATTATTGAAAATTATGAATAAATAATATAGCATTAATTTTATTCAAAAAAAGGATTTAAAATAACTAGATTTTATAAAATAAATTAAATTAAAAAATATTTTTTTAATTAAGATTAAGATACGATATATGATATGAGATATTGATTATAAAATAAGTGATTCTCGAAGATAATTAATACTTCTTAAGTAATGGGAGACGTTCTAAAAATGATATTCTAAATATAAGAATATAATAATATTGCCAAATTGTATTCATTATAAAATGATAAGGGCGCTCTAAATTTTAAATTGAACTTGGGATAAATAAAATAATACGGATTCATATGATAAATATTCTATATAGGAAGGTTCTTATATTTCTCAAGTCTAGTCTCTATCGAGCGATTTATTCTAATTAATTTATGGACTTTTATTATTTAATTCTCAAATATTTTTCTTTTGCTTATAATCTATTTCATAATTATTCTATTCTGGTCTTTTCTGAGCGTTCTTTGCTCTTATTATTTCTAGTCTCTTTGGAGCGGTTTGGTCGTTGTCAAAAGAAATTTCAATATTCTAGTCCATTTCGAGTGGTATGATTTTTGTTTTGCAAATATTCCAGTTCTTTCGAGTGGTTCATTACTTTTTTCTTAAATATTCTGTTTTCTTCTCGAACGACTTGTTCCTTGAATCTTTTTTTTCTTTTCTTTTGGGAATGGATTCTTCCTAATTTCTCAATAATTCTAGCATTGCTCAAATGCTCTAGTTCTTTTTGGTCTTTTCAATGGTTACTCGAAGGGAATATTTTTTATTTCTCTAAGATTTTTATTTCCTTCGAGTCAAATCCGCCAATTTTTTCGACTGATTTATTTATTTAAGATTTTAGATTCTTTAGAGCTATCTACTTATCAAATCTTTCGGGCGTTTTATTCTTTATTTCTTAAATATTCTAATCCCTTTTGTGTTTGCTCTTTATTTCTCAGATTCATTAGTTTTTGTCGGGCGGTGAGCTCCGTCAAATTCTCTAGTCCCTTTCCAACGAATTATCTTCTAATTTTCCTTTCGTCTAACCTCATTCGAGCGATGTGCTCTATGTGTCTCAAATAGTCTGGCCGTTTCGAGCATTTGGATCCTTATTTCTCCAATATTCTCGTTCCATTTAAATGGATTGCTTTCTATTTCTCAAATTCTCTAGTCTGTTTCGAGCATATGGCTCCATCTAGTCCGTTTCGAGCGGTTTGGTCTCAATCGCTTTGGAGTTGTCTGCTCCTTGTTTTCTTCAAGAGTTCTTTTAGTTTGTCTGCCACGTGCGCAAGCACAGAAATAGAAAGAATAAATTATGAATTATCCATAAAAATAGAGTGAAAACGATCCTTCCATTATAAAATATAATCAAAAAGCGTCAAAATCTCCACTTTTGGACCCCAAAAGAGCAAAATCTCAGCGCATACGAAAATCATTAAAAGAACAAGAATATATAAATATAAATAATCCGAGCAAAACGCACGTTGTAGAGCAAAAGGTCGAAGCAGCAAGCACGAAAAGATGCCGATAAAAAGTGTCCGGTCGGCGTATCAGTCGACTGATAGAAATTGCAGAAAACCGCTTGAAAGGGACCAAGATTTAATATTTGATAAATAGGGAGGACCTCCCGACTAAGAATAAAATATTCAAGAAATAAGGAGCAGACCAGTCGAGAAGGGAATTTGAGAAAGAGGGAGTGAACCATTGGAAAGAGGCTAGAGTATTCGAGAAATAGGGACCATATTTTTCGAAAGGTGATTAGAGCATGGGAGATTTGAGAAATAGTGAGCAAATCGCTCGAAAGCAACGAAAAGATTTGAGAAATAGGGAATAAATCATTTGAAAATAACAAGGGTATTGGAAAATCAAAGAGCCATCCATTCGGAAGGGATTAGAGCACTTGAAAAATAAGCAGCAAACCACCCAAACGAGATTATATTTAATCTGTGAAAAACAACCGGATAAGCCACTCGAAAGGGACGATACAATTTGAGAAATAAAAGGCTAACAGCAGAAAAGGAACCAGACTTTTTGAGGAATACGGAACAAATAACTCGAAAAAATGCGTACCTATATAACAAACTACTTGAAAAAACTAGAATATTTGAGAAAGAGGGAGCATACCATTCGAAAGAGACTAGTATATTTGTGGCACAGTGAGCAAACCAATCGAAAGGAACTATTTAAAATATTCGAGAAATAGGGATCAAGCCGCCCGAAAATAATAATATCCATAAATTTTCCATTTATTTCTATAGGACATCTATATTGCATCCATAAGTAATATCTATAAAGATTTCGTATTCTTTTGCAGAGCATCCATGGAGTAAATATAAGAATATTTATAGATTCCCTCCATCAATTATGATAAGATCTTCAAAGATTCCATTTATTTCTATAGAACATCTATATGATATTCATAATAACGTTCATAAAGATACCATCTATTTCTATAGAGCATCCATATAGCAACCAAAGATTCCGTCTATGTTTGCAGAGCATCCATATGGCACCCATAAGAATATCCATAGATTCCGTTATTTCCCATAGAGCATTTTTGGGGTAGTTATATGGACGTCCACTTAGGTCGCCTCCTTTAGAGGATCAGGGGGGCGGATTCTGGCGGCGGCATTTTTATTATTTTTGCCCAGGAGGAGGAGGGGTTGTGGCGGGTCGCTTCAATTATTTTCTTCCAGACGTCTTTCTCGCCGCGACGGCTCGTATTTTATTGTAGAGCAGACGAACTGGGGTTCGTGTACAATCTGAAAAGGTTCCGTATATATTTGACATATTGTCATATTTTTTTCCTAAATTGCCTTATCTCCCGAAATAGACCTCAGGAATGTGGCAAAACCTAGGGCGGCAAGTCGGGTCGCCTACCTAATTTCTCAAATATTCTAGTCCCTTTTGAGCGGAGTGCTCCTTATTTCTCAATTACTCTAGCTCCTTTCGAATGGTTTGTTTCCTATTTTTCAGATTTGCTCCAGGAACCAGTCATTCCAGTCTATCTTCGGGCATTCTGCTCATTATTTTGAAAATTGTTCAGTCGCTTCCGAGCGGTTTGCTCCTATTTCTCAAATATGCTAATCTCTTTAGATCGATTGGCTCCGTTAAATATTCTAACCCCTCTCGAGCGATTTGCACCTTATTTATTAAATGCTCTGATATTTGCCACCAGTTCCTCGAATACTCTAGTTTTTTTCGAATATTTAGCTCCCTATTTCTCAAAATTAGTCCCTTTCGAATGATTCGCTCCCTATTTTCCCAAATATTCTAGATATTTCATATAGGGTGTATTCCTCCTTTCTTTCTCAAATATTCGAATTCCTTTCGAATGATTCCCTCCCTGTCTCTCAACTATTCTAATCCGACCCCTTTCGAGCGATTTGCTAATTCTTTCTAAATATTCTAATTCTTTTCGAATTATTTATTCCATATTCTTCGAATATATCATGCCCTTTCGAGAGATTCGCTCCTTGCTCAAGATTCCGAGAAATATAATTAATTTCTATATTTTTCTTATACTTCATATTTTCAATTTGCTATTTTCTTTATTTTATAATTTCCGGATTATACTAAAATTAAAACTTATTTTTCTATTAAAATAATCCTATATAGAATTTAAATATATCGAATCATAAATTTCATTAATTAAGAAATATTTTATTTGAAAAATCATATTATATCAATAAATTCAAATTCTTAAGATTCTCATAGATTCGTAGAAATAATCATCATATATAGAATCGGAAGCAAAATAAATTTATTATATTGTATAATAAATTAATATCAATTAATCAATTTTTTAATATTAAAATATTCATTTTTCAAGAATTATTTGGTATATTCTTATCATATATCTAATTTATAAGAATCAATATATTAACAGAATCAAAAATTACTCTACCCTGTATTTAATTCTAATACTTCCTAACTTTAGTTATATTTTATATTATTCCCTCTAAATCAAGTCAAATATGAAGACCTTCCTAGCAAATCAAATAATCGCTCCAAGATCATCAAACCTTGTTTATATATTTTATATGACTCCTAAAATCATAATCGAAATCTGATATTTCTGT